TCCATTCAATTTCACATATTTTTCGAATTAATTATTGTTTTCGTGACTACTAGTAAATCAGTAGTATGAGTAGTATTCACCCAAATTCGTTTAAGGTGATGAAGAACTGGTAGAAGAAGAACTTTCCCGCAATGATGTAAGTAGAGCTGACGTTTTCATTCAATTTCACATAGCCTTGCTTTCCCAAAAGTTGTTCTCATTCAGGCATCATTGGACAGCATTTTCGAACTCGCATCGACAATCCCACCAAAGAATATGATATTGCTTAAAGCCTGACCATTCTTGAAATTCACATTTTCCCGGCGACCCAAAAGGCACTCGTGGCAATGTGACTGAGTGGTTAGTGTGTCATGCTCCCATTCTGCACCATCACAGTTCGACTCCGGCTGGGGTTGTGGATAAGACCGATGCGAGGTCGAAATTGTGGTCCACTCAAGCCGAGATGAGAACAACTTTTGGTAAAGCAAGGCTATGTGAAATTCAATTGTGGGAAAATTCTTCTTCTACCAGTCCTTCATCACCTTAAACGAAATTGGGTGAATACATCTCACCTAACTTTAGTAAACAAATATCTTCTTCGGTTGGGAGTTGTGTCGATCGTAGGTCGTTCTCACCAGAAGCCGACGGCCGACTCTGAATCACTAATTCACACAACTTCCCCACAAGTATGGGATTCGTCAAGTAAACTTTGTGCTGATAACCGGGTACCCAGAGTTAAAATCGTATTCATTCTACCATAACCGAACATCAAATGGCTATTCGAGCCTTTTAGGAGTATACTCTAATTTGCATTTTCTTCAGTTCGGAGCTCAGACGAGAGAGTACAAGAGAGAGAGAGAGAGAGCGAGAAAGTCCAATTCATGGAGTACGTTGACATGTACATCGGAAACTCACAAGTGTCGCATTCCATTGGTGGTTTCGGCAGCTAAATGACCCTCAGAAAAGCTGTACTTGTCATGATCGCCTCCACCTGAGAGCGTTAAATTCGCCCAAGAGGTGGGTGAGCCAAGAGTCTGCAAATCTCCCCTCCATCCAACACGTCCGTTCCTTGCCCGACTTGGAACTGGAGACAAAACGGAGCAACGGGAGTCTGTCTACCGGCATAGAGAAGCTAAGGTCGGCCGACAGTCAAAAAGGTTCACGGATTAAAGGTCTCGAAACCAGGCCACAATAAAGCCATCCGTCAGCCGTCAAAATATGTCGAATATGAGCCAAGCTCCGGCTAAAAAGCATATCATTTCCTGACCAAAAGCAATAACAACAACGCGAACATGATGCCTCAGAATACGGCGACCATTTGAGCCGACGATGGTGGATGAGAGAGAGACAGAGAGACAGAGAGAGAGAGGCGAAATTGCAGGCAGATGAATGGGTGTACACTCGAGTCCCGTCTTGGTCCTTCTGAAGGACCCCTCGACTCACCGACTCGTGGAACCAATCGCGCACGACCAGATGGCACCCTTCAGCAAAGAAATTGCGAAAAGTGAAGGTCAAACTGGCATTAGGAGTGTGTTTGTGTTTGTGTGTGTGTGGTTGTTTGTATGTAGTCGTTTAAAACACTTGCGATGGTTGATGGAGTTGAGACGGAAGTCGAGAAAAGCTGTGGAGAGTGGAGTTTTGCGTCAGTAAGGATTGAATAAACAAATTCTTTTAAAACAGGAATTTTGGTATCACGGCAGGTGCGACCTTTACATGCGTACGGAACGATTGCCGATCAAGCAGACACACAGTTTCCGTCGAATTTCACGATATTACTCATTTTTTGTGTTAGTATGTCTCGAAGGCATAAACTTCCGGTACGGGAGCATTGCTCTGCAGTGGTCTGAGAGAAAAATTCAAGAACCAACAAAGCCGTTCTCTCTTTTGTGAAAATGAGGTGGTGATTTGAACTCGATGAAGAAATAGAAATTATGCTCTTCGTCTGGTACAATTTGATCGGTGGCTTTGATGCGAATTTAACCAGTGCTGCCTATCTACTTACGTCGAATTAAGTAATGTGTAGGTGAATTAAACAACTTTAGTCGATTATAATAAAGTTTACGAATGAATATGGCTGAGCTGTTATGCTAAGTGCATTTGAGTATTAATACTTATTATTACCATTATTGACTGTTCGAGTATTAATTAATTTAAGCAATCAATTCAATTACCATTTCAGGTTTCTGCGTGAGTAAGACATAAAAATGATTTTAGTATTTCTAAAAAAATTGGTGAATTTCTTTATTTCTTTACTTTGCGACTTGCTCGAATACCAACAGTTCTATCAATGTCCTACAGTCCAGGCGCAATAGGCCATCATAACGCGTCGCCATGGCTCCTCGAGGCAGGCCTGATTCGCCCACTCTGGTACAGCTCTTGAGCTGATCGGTTGGTGGAGGTACAGCTAGAAAGTGGGCTTTCACTCTGTCGGTCGCGCTCCTGTCCACCAGCCCAACTCAAGACAACATATGAAGTCAATCACTTTCTTTGAACACACAGACTCGCACTTGTTTCTAAGGCCGTTTGCCCGAAGTTGTGCCCAGCAGTCAAGAGACTAAATGGCCAAAGCTACTCCTATTTGTGTTTATGTACGAGGTGAGTGTGTTTGTGTGTGTGTGTGTGTGTGTGTGTGTACTCGTTGTCATAGAGATTTCGGATTCACTTATGCGTTCTCGCGAGTATTTGCGTTTTAGACCAACCGTCCTTATTCGGAGCCGCACTTTTAGTAAAGCCGCCCCCCAGCACCTCTTTTCATACACCAACCAGCACTTAAATTGGTACCAGTAGTAATGATGGCTGCGTCATTATCAAGATCAGTCCTACAGAAAGGCCCAGCACACGATCTCGTGTGGACCTACTCATTACACACACACACACACACACACATGTCAGGATTGTTTTCTTGGCCAACCTCCACCTTTCACATCCTCGTCTCTACATTCAGACACACTCACACTCACATGCACACATTGCATCACGCATAACTGCAAGACCGTCATAGTCGGCAAGGCAGAGGGACTCGGAGGCAGCGGACTTTTTGCCGAAGTCGTGTTTGCTTGTCCTTAAGCGAATGGACGTCTTTCAACCGGTCGTATGTACACGTCAATCTGTACTTCATGTGTGTTTCCTCTGTTTGCATATATATGCATGTGTGTGTGTGTGTGTGTGTGTGTGTGTGTGTGTGTGTCTGCCTCCGGCCTTGAACCGAACGTCAGTCTGTAGTTGAGCCGAAAGCCCAGATTTGTTTGCTCACCCAACATCGCGGTCCGGACAAACGGACTGTCGGACCGGTAGCATGTATTTCGGCCGCGGCAACGATGCGTCCGGCAAAGCGTTGGGGAGCACAAGGGTCGGCTGTGATTGGGGAAATTGAGGAAAAACAGAGCGGCCGGATGAACTCGGACGGCAGAGAGTGGAGGGGATCGGTACGGACCTTCTTCAGCATCACCTGCACTCATTAGCCGAACCAGGCCGGCGACAGATCGGTCCTGGCCGACTCTTCTTCGTTTGGCTCGCCTCCATCTCGAACAAAAGGAGTGGAGGCCAAAAGAGAGCCCGCCAAAATACGATGACAAATGTGTCTTGAAAAGCAACTTTCGCATTCATACCACACTTGAAGTGTGGGATTTTCAGTCAAGTACTCGGTCGTTTGTCATTACAGTATACAGCACTACTTGCACTTGTAGTGAGTAGGATGTCGAGAATTTCAGTAAATCTTCAATAATGACCGGGACACTTCAGATCCCGTCAGCCTTGCTTGCTTAGGATGAATGGGGTTCATTTTTAAGATATCGTCTTTGCCAACACGAACACAACTTTCTATTGGCCACGGGTCGGTCTCCGCCGGTCCTTTCATTCCGATGAAAGTGTGCCGAAATTTCGTCTGTCATGTGACAACCATCTTCAACACAGGGTATCGTTCCTTTACTTAATTTCACGATCCCCAGTCAGGATAACTTATCGTCTTGACCCAAAATGGTGCATTCATATGCCTATTTTTATGAGACTACTTTTATATCTTTATTAAGTAGCAAGTAGTATGGTTGGTTCAAGTCACAAATCATGCTAGAATCCTGCGTTTGTGTGTGTGTTTGTATGCGTATATCTACGAAACTAGCACTGCTAGCTCAAGGTAATGGAAGGTGTCCAAGATTGGATGGTTCTAAAGTTCTTTTTTAATCTTCACTTCGATTTCATAATATCGGATACTTGTCTGGTTGCGTTTATGAGAGAGAGAGAGTGAACTTAAGCCTACAAAAAGAGTGCTTCAAATTAGAACCACGATAGTTTCGAGGGATACTTACATTGAAAATAGGCAACGAAAGAGCCACAAGTCTATATTAAACAAAGAAAAGTTGGGTTTCGAGGAATCTCTTGTTTCATAATTGTTGGGAGTTCTTTCATTTCGAGTAGAAGTGATGGGTGAAGAGATTCGAATGTCAAATAAGCCAGATTTAGAGTATATATACCACTTTTTAGGGG